AAACTAACATTTGTAGTTTTATAATTTCAAAATTACTTTATTTAGGCTACGTAGCTTTAATTATGGAGACGATAACAGAGAGTGACGGTTAATCGAGCTTCTTTTATAATAATATTTAATGGTCATTTGTTTAACCTAGTGTATAATACATTTTCATCTTATTTAAAGTCAATTAGAAATTGAGAATAAGATTAAACGATAAGCAAATCAATTGTTTCATTATAATTTGAATAAGCATAAGATGAGTAGGCGAGTCACGTATTCGTGTTCACAATTGTTATATTGCATTATATTACAAATTTTTAAGCTAAACAGTTACAATACACTATTTTAAATATTTAATATTATTTCCCAAGAAAATATTTATTATCATACAACTATTATCTAAAACGGCTATAGTAATTTTAGATGATATACAATTAAACGGTTTTTTCAATAGATATTCTTATGGATCACAATTCATTAAAGATTTTCTTACTCATATAACTTTTAAATAAACTACCGCAAGGAATGGGAACAATAAATATATGAAAAATACGCCATGTCTAATAATAGGATAAGTTCTCACGTAGTTGTTTAAAATTCTACAAAATTATTCTAACATTTTAATACTCATGCCTTGTTTAAATAAATAAAGTCAAGTACAATTAATTTCCATTCATCTGTGGTCGTTGGTCTTATTTGTGCACGAATGGATAGACAAATAAGTTTTAGTTGTAGATGAATTAAGCCTTTCTTTAAGTTTATGCACAAAAAGAAAACATATATAACAATATAAGTACATTATGGCGCTGATCGTTTTGCGGGATCTTTGATAAAACCAAGTAGATGATCACGAAGTTCCTGTTCTCACATGTAGGACGTTGTACTTCCCAAAACACGACCTTGATAGACAAAAAGAGTACATCTCTCCGATGCCTCTAGCCGTTCCGTTTGGTTCGTCAACCATAAAGCCACGCGAATAATAATGATGAAAAGGATCCAACAATAATATCACGTTTCAAAATACAAATGTAATGTATACATAGGTTTTGTCCCAAAGATCTATTGGAACGATGACGAATCGATTTTACATGTGTAGAACAGGTGAGTGTCTTCAACTATATACTACTGCTATTAGCTATCTACAAACCTATTAAATTTCTATTGCGAACAACTAATATAACGGCATTGAAGTAATTCGCCTATTATTGCTTTGAAATAAACTTATATTTATATACGTTTTTAAACCTCCCCTAAATACATCATTTTACAAAAGCTCAAAAATATTTACCAAAAAAAAAAAAGGAATAATATTTCTCTAAATAAGCTAAATAATGTATTATCATTCAACGCTTATCTGGTAGAACAATGAAATTAATGCAATTTTTACAATGATAATTTTATAGAAAACAAAGTGTCAAGTGGAAGTTTAGGATAAGGGTGGCTGACCCCAAGTAGTTGGGATTAAGGCGAGGAAGAAGAAGAGTTTTTTAGAAAACAAAATTTAAAATATTAATTATATAATTTGCATTACTTAGGCAATAAGGAATAGCCTAGAAATAATAAATGGACATTTTTATAAAGAAAAATTTAGTTCCGTAAAGTAAGTTAAAACTATTTCTCGTACTTATAACAAATTTCAAAAATTTACATTTTCGTTTTTACAGCTGAAAATCAATATGCTTTAATAATATTTATTATTTTATTATAGTAATAATTATTATTTATAATTCGAGTAGATCAGTATATTACGCAGAGTGTTTCTGAACTGGACCATATTAATATACATAAATAGGGGTTGAAAGATGTGCGTTTTTAAATATCTTTAAAATTAATATTTTTTCTACACAGGATGTTAATTAATCTTCAAAATTAAAAGCAAAATATACTTTAAATCTCATTAAATGTACATACAAAAAGAGGGTTTACTTGATATGTTATTGATAATTTACAAAATGCCAATGTTATGGCCAATATTTAAAAAAAAATGATAATTAGTAAAATGAAGAAATCGACAAATTTAAAGGGGGTATTCATGATATCTTATTAAATATTTATCGGAAATAAAAATAAAATATACGTGAGAATTTCTCTAAAAATTCTATTAAAAAATAAAGTATCACTCAAATATGTCAACTTTTGGGTGTTATAGACCAAAATAAGTGTAAAATGGGACAAAGAGACTTTTTCTAACCTCTATTTATGTATATTAATATGGTTCAGTCCAGAANATTTTTAAAATGGGACAAAGAGACTTTTTCTAACCTCTATTTATGTATATTAATATGGTTCAGTCCAGAAATTCATGTATACATAATATACAATGTGCTTTAAGTTTGTTCTCAATAAATTATTATTTTTATACTTTACAATTTACTTAAGTATAAGATACGATTTTCGTGTAAATGGTTTGAGATTTATGAGTGCGTGTTGGATGATTGTTTTCGTAAGGTGACTACTCTCTAAATGATTATTTCGGTATTGGAGTAAGTATATAGATGATTAATGACCCATTCTATATAAGGTGCAAAAAAGTTCTTAATCGATTTTTCTAGTTAATAAAACTTTGAACAGTATTATGGTGTATCTAAGTAATTTTAAAATGTTAATAAATATTTCTGAGTGTACGTAACACTATATTATAGTTTTATTCTGTAAAGTTAAAATGAAATGATATTGATAATTGGTAAATTTTTTTATTTGTGAATGTTGTATGACTATTTAGTTTTTGAAGGGTGAAATTCGATTCTTATGAGAATTAATGGTTTCAAATACATCATGGTTTATTTATATCATAACAAAATACTAAAGATTGCATTCTCTATCAATCCTCCAGCAATTGTTTTCACGGCCCGTTAAGATTTGGAAAGCAGAGCATCGTGCTCCAACAATCAATACGTTATAGGTAAGTAAGTATAAATTATCAGATATTTGAAGACCAATTAACACTTTCTTTGTTAAAAAAATTAAAATCATATTACTAATGACGAAAATGTATACACACATGTGTGTAGGTGTTTAACCACACATTTCTACGTGAGATTTACATTTAAAACGAATGAACGATTAATGTGAAAGTAAAATCCGCACGATTAATCTTTCTTGTTTTTATAATAATAAATGACAACATTATTTTTTTTTTTGAAAAAAATGTCGATTGTTAAATCAACATTATAGACATAAAAAAAAAAAGAGACCAATAAAACGATTATAGTCCTAAGTATGTGGTGAGTACATATATGTATTAGTTTTTAAATATATTGCATAAACACTTCCTTATTCGGTAAAACGATTACTAAGATTAAACATTAAATAGAAAATACTGTTGTTCAGCAAAAAGTTAAGAAGGGCTTCTCCATAGCAACGAGGAACGTGCGTTTCAGATTAAACCAAATACACGTTTCGTAGAATTTTAATAATTAGGGTTAGAAAAAAAGATGAACATTAAAGGCATCAGTCATAATTTTGGTAATTATAAATCTAAAAAAGAAAGTATTATTTATCTTTTTTAAATTTTTATATTTAATGAAATGCAGTACTTTTTTTATGTAAGTATTTTCAGCATAAGAATATTACACATAACAAATCTATTAAATGTAATACACTTATTGATCTATTGGATGAACATTTAATATTCATCCAATATTATCTATTAATAATAAGAATTAGTACCTATTTTCATAGTAATTTTAAAAAGCTAAACATTCTTCAATTTTTTAGTGGTTTGTTAGTAAATGAAAAATACACAGGTCAAGCCAACATGCAGACCATGACTGGTCAATTTTTTTGATTCACTTGGGTGCATCTAAATTTATATACTATAAGTCCACTTTAAGACTACAAGTAATTAATGATTTTACACTTTTCCTCAAAATAAACTGGGTTACTGCAATGTTTATAAGTACATAGCAAAGTAAAAAAAAAATCGGATATCAATTATTACCTAAATGAGTAGCTACGCAGTAGTACGTATCATTTAACAAGAATTCATATTATTAAGAAGTAGAACTTTCACGGTCAGATAATTTTTGCAATTAACACGATATTGTATTTTAAACACTTATTTTCTTATAAGTATAAAAATATTCCTCGAAACTTTTTGATCGTACTATTCAAATTAAATAATAATTAAAAATTATTTTACCGTTATCATTAAAATTCATTAAGACTATAATGGGTCAATATTAGCTTCAACAGTTTCAACTAATGCATCATATATAACTAATGTACTATATATAAATATATATATAATGTATATTACACGAGTATAAAAAAATCAAGACTGATTTGATTTAGTTTTAATGAAATAATAAACCAATTCTTTGGTTATTATCAAAGGATAAAATATATACATAGTAATTCGTTTATCAATTAATTGATTAATTCACACTTAGAGTTTTTACTTATAATCTTGGACATGACAGTAACGAGCACCATTGTCACAAGATGAAAATAAAAGATATTGAATATATGACAGAATCCATTATTTTGATAAAAAGCTATGAGTAGGGTATCATTTTGTGGGGTACAGAGTGCGATTACCCCGGATGACAGGTTTTTAAGGGTGGCACTGAATATGAAGCAATATAAATTATAGAGTTGAAGGCTTATTTTATTAATTTTTTTTTTTAATAAATTTGTCGAATAAAAAAAAATAGAAAACATTTTCTATTTTTCAATTTATTAATCATGAAGTATTTTTTATGTTCATCCCGTATACTTTATAATGATATCAACTTTATTATTATATATAGCAACATACATAATTAATTAGATTATTTAATAATTAATGATCTAAAAAAATGAATTGTTGATGATAACTTTTAGACCAGTATTTTGAAAGTTTTTAACATTTTATATGTTTTTTATGATATCTAGAGGAAGACGCAGGTGTTGTTATTTTGTAACTAGTCATATACTGTTCATACTTTTTCTCCCTCCTAGGAATACATATGTTAATAACTTCTGAAATACTGGTCTAATAATTTACTGTCTTTTTAGTACTAAACATCACAAACCTAACTGACTGTAGACATGTAATCGATCTTAATTTCCTTTCCGAATTTCTATAAAATAGATTCTTTTGACTACCTGTCTTTTGTAAATATAAAGCTTCACTAAGAGTTACTTGATCTTTTGCCCTTTTTGCTGTTCCTCACTGTTCCATATATCCTAACTCTTCTTTTATTCGGTAATGGGTTTAATTAATGTTGACACCTCTTACACATTTTATAAATTTATTCTGTTTAATTATAAATAAAATCAATTTGTAGTTGTACTCAATAGTATTACATATTATTAACTTTAGGATTGTCTCGTAATAATTATATAAATAAATACCTAATTTTTATTATATACGGCTTTTAAGAATATATTAATTTTAATCTTAAATGTTTTTAGTGGAGTTCTTCAATGTTGAGACAGGTTAATAAATAAGAATAATGGTATCTCATCTTAAAAAATGCCATATTTATTATTTTTAAGTTTAGAAAACCGCATAGGGGTTGGATTGTTTAATTTGAGTGATGAAACAACTAGTGAATAATATTGAATTTTTAAATTACAATAATATAATATTAATTTCACACACATATAGAATACTATGAAATATAAGTAAACATAACATATATTTTATTGAGGTTTAATACGGAATCTTATCAAAATTGAATACAAATTTATAGTATTTCCTTTAACTATACTTTGATTAACATATAATGTTACTGAGGTCAATAGATCAAAGAATATACTTTTAAGTCAGAGTAGCTGGAACAGTAAAATAATTGAATTTATATCTTTGAAACTATAATCTGGAGATCCTTTAAAATAATTTATTGAAATTGAAAATATATTTCTAACAACTAGCTGAAACCAAAAAAATCTAAATTTTTCAAATCTCTTTGGAGTAAGACTTCTTTATATTTTCGATTTAATTTCTTTTTAACAAATAATTTAAGAGTTAAGCGTAACGATCAAATAAGTACAATGTTTTCAAAAAATATTTTTTTTAGTTTTGAATAAATATGATTTATTTTTGATGTTTCAATAAAAAAACAAATATTATATTTTGATATTTAATTTAAAAGAAAATTTTAATTCTTGCTATAATTGAAAAAAATTCAGTAAAATGCCTCCCTTGAAAATTGTTTAATAGTAGACTTATCTAGTTATTTCATTAAGTTTTTAATTTGTTGTTATGTAATAATGTTCAACATTTTATTTCATATAAAATAAATCAATATATACCCATATACTTGAATAAAAATTAAAAAACTCACCAAAATCATTTTTCTAACTGCATAGTTCCTTTCTATATAATTTTTTTTTATAAGACGGAATTTCACATCTAAATAGTTAAAGCTCAGAGTTAACACATTACAATCAAAAATAATTTTTTTCAGATTTAAGAACACGCAACGTTTATCTTTCTCTAAAAAATAACAACTGCCTGGACAGAACAGTGAACTTGTCGAGTTACAGGATGTGAAGCGGAAAATTCATCTCTTCTGTATTTTAGCGGGTCTCTTTCTATATTATACAGGTTAGCCAACTAATAGACATATAAATTTTCAAACATATATTTATTATATAAGAGTACACTGATTGATATCAATCTATAATTATTTGTTATCACTAGCTACGGAAATGTACACATAACTTTATATAAACTTTGTTAACACTTTTATACCTTTTTATATAATGTAATGTTATTTTCACTCTCAATTGTGAATCTATTCAATAAATTATTAAGGCTTGGTTGAATAATTCTGAATATTAGATTTTTTATTATTATTGTACTAGTCTTGAGATTGTTCTGTTTTATTAATTCATATAGTAGCTTTTTTTAGCGTAAAAAACAACACCTTATTAAAACGATATGTCTACTATTGTTTTTTCTTTTTCGGCTAGTCCGACTCCATAATTGTACATTAAAATGAATGATAAGAATGATCATGATAAACAGAGCTCTAGTAAAGAGCAATCGGATCAAAAAGATACTTCTGACCCAAAAATAGAAACTTTTAGGTATAATCCATATACATTTATTAATTTTAATATAGGTAATATTCTATATTTTGTTTTCTTAGGTTAAATAATAATATAGTTAATGGCTATAGTGATTCACAGTGCTGTGCTAACTGTGATGTAGCTGCACGTCGTGATCATATGATTGCTGCTAGTCTTGTGTACTGTGATGAAGAAGATAGTGATGTTGATGATGACTGTTGTATATATACATATCGAGGAGATAGACAAGAACCACCAGTAGTAAATAGAGCACTAATTGAAAATAGAAGTTCTTCACCTTTAATGGACTATCTAGAAATGGATTTTGATCCTGAACCAGTTTTAGAAAATGAGTCTGAAAATGAGGATATTGAAATACCCAATCCCAATGATCAAGAAAAGTAATATTTTGAGTTATTAATATAACAATCATGTATTTATTTTGTGTATTGTTAATAGTAATCTAGTAACTAATTCTGAAGAACCTATACCAAGTTGTTCTAAAGTAAATTTTAAAGGGTGCGATAGTAAAGATGATAAGAGAAGTAGACTGAAAAGTATTAATAATGCTAGTATTTCACAACCATTGATTATTCCTTGTGCAAGTTTGAATGGCTATCACAATAGTTTAAAAGAAGAACGTAATGGCTGTTCTAGACGCAATACAGATACTATAGTAATATAATAATAAAGCATAAATTTCATTATCTGTAAGTAATATTTTTATAATTTTTAATCCAGGAAGTATGTCAGAATATGAAAAAAATGCGGGTAGATGATTTAAGTTGGTCAAAAAATATGGTATGGTCAGAAAAAGAAGCTGCTCAACTTCAAATAAATCAAATTGGAGTATCAGCTTGTGGTGCAACTGCAATTATGAATACTTTGGTATTTTATTTATTCAATTAAAATTCTGATTGTTTATTTGAATTAAAAAATTTATTACCTGAAAAATCAATATTTTTTCATAAAATAGGGTTCATTAATTTTATCAATGTTTTGATTCAATTTAATAATATACAAGACTAATAAAAGTAGATATTTACCAATGATTCTTGATATTTTCAGTTAGCATTAAGAATACCATTTAATACTGAACAAATTCTCAAAACTGTTGGTACAAGGTTGCGAAATGAAAATGCTCCATTAATATCTTATTTAGAATCACGTTCTGTAGCTGGTTGTACAGCAGATGATTTAGTTAGAACATTAGAAACTGTTACAAATTCTTTAATCAGTGCTAGATTTTTTCCTACTTATGCAAATATAGATGTACCTTTAGCTACTTGGTTGGCTAGTTGGATACAAAAAGGTAAACTTGTTGAATCATGAATTAAATTTATAATTGTTTCCTTATATTTAAGGAATATATTTACTATATATAGTAAAAAAAAATTGGTATTTTAATTAATAGGTGCTGTACCAATATTGACTTTAAACCGACAACGTGGTATCAATTCAGATTCTTTTGTGCCAGATAGTTGGCACCATCAAATGGTTTATGGTGTGACTTATAGTCCTTTATGCCCTAATGAATGTGCTCAGATTTACATGACTAATCCTCTTACCATTTCAACAATGGAATCTCTTAGACCACAACTTTTTTCTCCATCTGTATTAATGATAAAAAGAGCTGATGTGTTATCACGATGGACTCCTTTAACAGATCTCATGCCTTTAGCTAACCACCCTAATCGTTCATGGCAAATTTCTAATGTATTAGGTAAATTAAAATTAAATGCTTTTTCTTTACAAAATTTTAATTTTTTTTTCAACTAGGACAAGTAGTTAATCTTATACGAGAAGAACAAGAAAGTATCCACTTTACTAAACATATTATGATACCTGCTAGTTATAAAAGTGGTATAACATTGGCAATGAGAACTTCATCAAATTTCATTCATGAATTGAAAACAATACCAGATTTATAAACCAGACATTTAATAACAGTTCATAATTTTAAGTACTTCACCTTACTCGCAATAATATAATTATTCTCTATTTTATAGTTATTATTACTTGTAAACTGTATATTTATGATTTTGTTAATCAAAGTTTTAAAAAATAACTTTGTCATAAGAACAGTGATTTACAATTGCAGTTATGGTTATTGAAAAAAATATACTGTTCAAATAATAGTTTAACTTATTTAAGTAAGTACAGACTTAGGATTGTAAGAGTCTCTAGATAAATATATCAGTGAAGGTTTTGATCATTTGTTTTCTTTATACTGCCTATGCTTATAATTATAAATAAAGTAATACAAAATAAATATTATTATACATATATTTATGTGTAAAAATAAACATTTTTTAAAGGCATTAAACAAATAAAATTAATTGTAAATAAAAATTGTTTAATTCTACCTTGTAAGCTGTCAAATAATTATTTCTATATTAATACTGGTCCAACATTTATATTACCAATATGTTATTGTGTTTTTTATGCAAAGAATTACACTTCACAAAAGTTTACTTGAGTTGAAAAAAAACCATCTATGCATAATTTTATTTTACTTATTTATAATTAATCTTCTGGATTTTCTAGCTTAGACATTTCTTCTTTCAGTTTTTTCAAAATATTATAATTAGGCCCAGTAACAGGTTTAGGACTAGAAATACCAGGTTCGTCAAGTTTTTTTTCACAGCCATTACCAAAATTTTGGTGATTATATAATCTTAATAACGAACCAAAAACATTTATATGTGGATGTAAAACCTGAAAAAAACATTATACTATTTTTTAGGATGCGGTACAACGACTCATCTTTTCATGTAAATTAAACTAGTATAAGATGATATTTAGTCAATCATATCAAATTATTTCATCAATTTTTGATGTTTCAAATACCTGCATCTTTTATATTAATGTAAAATTGAATCTAATATAATACTCTTAAGATGAGAAAAGTAAAACTATCTAATAACTAAATTTCTAAGATTTAGCTACTAATAAATCCAAAAATCATAGAATTTTCAGTAAATATGACCAATTTTGAAATGTTTCTCATAGCATCAGAAAATCTACATTATTTATAACTAAATCAAATGAATATTTTAACAATTTTTAAATAAATAACTTTAAATTTACTATAAAATTAAAAGAAAAAACATTCTAATTTTTAAGTTAAAATGATAGATTAAAAAACACTTTCATTTTGTTATAGCTTTATAAAATCACAAACTTCAATTAAATTTATATGAGAAACATTAAAGACAACTATCATTCAACTAATAAGTATTATATAAAAATTAATTTAATCTCTAGGTAAAAGAACTTTTTAAGCGAAGCAACATGTTTTTACAAAATAATTTTAATTCAAATTTTGATAATGTTCTGGAACATTTGCACTCATTAAACAAAGATAAAATAAAAGCTTTAAAAATATACTTAAAAAATAAAAAAAGTCCTGACATTTTTTTTTTTAATTAAGTAATAGGTTCCAAAGAAAAAATTTCTATAAAAATTTTCAATTATTTTTACTAGTCTTAGTAATCAAATTATAGCTATTTATACTAGCTATGTCAATCATTGCCAAATTTAAATCTATACTAAAGTTTATTATGTTAATTTCCTTGTTGAGTTATGAAGGTACTAGGTAGTTTTTAAGAGTTTAGAGTTAAATTTGTTGAGAAACCTTTGACGTAAACTTAAAATATGTTAGTGCTGAGTTCTTTTATTATATTTTTCATAATATACAACACAACTTAATAAATAAAAAAAAGATTTTTGAGTTACATTTATAAGATTTAATAGTTATTTTGTAAAATTTAACGTTGAGTCTGAAAATGAAGTAAAAAATGCAAAAAGTAGACAGTTTTTATGAATTATAATGTTTATGTAGATTGTAAAAAATTAATTTTGTTATATTTTATATATCTGTGATTAAAATTCATATATTTTTCATAAAATTTTAGATTATCTATAAAAGTTATCATATAAAAAATTTTGCATGTGATGCATGGTGAACATTTTTATCAGCAAAAAAATATACTGAATATTGTAATGTGACAATGCAAGATATTGAGATAAAGGTATTAGAGATTATGGTTGGTTTTTTACAAAAGAATGCTATAAAAAAACAAACAAAAAATTGAGACTAATTTAAATAAAACAATAAACTGACTATTGGTAATTATCAAAAAATAAAATATTTGCACAGTGATTTGTTTATCATGAACCATTTTATGAGATTCAAAAATACTAAATAATCACTATAAGTTATAGATAGTATAAAATTTGTTAATATTAAAAATTTTTTAAAGTACAATGAAAACACTTTTCAGCAACACACATAAAAAATACATTATGCAATAATTCAAAATCTTTTTGAATTGATATCATTTTTAGACTTGGCATAAGATTTTATACAAAAAAAAAAACTATCTAAAATAATTTTCGTCAATTGTAAACTAGTGCAATTAAATACATTATTATTGTTTGTTTTAACTTTAATAAAAAATTTTTCATGTATAATTTAAATAACTCCATAATTTTGGTCTAACAAAATAGTAGTTTGTATTACTTTCACAATTCTAATAGTGATAACAGCATTTGAAGGGTGCATGCAATAACCAGCTACATTCAATTTTTGAAATTATTCAGAAGATATAAAAAACTAAGTAATTTTTTACTAATCTCTGCATACTAGGCATTTTTATTTTTATTGTATTATCTTTTCTTCCTAATGGATGAATATATTCTGTGATCTTATCAAATTATTCTCTATTAGAAATTAAGTGAATTTAGTTGAACTTAAAATAATTTCTAGACTCTTTAATTGCAGTGTATGTGTACATAAAAAATGTTTTACTTGAGATTTACTATAAATGTAAAGTTAAAGTCCATTTCTAGTTTCTACAGTGCATAAAAATTTTATCTTAAATGTTTAAATTGGGCTATATTATCTAATTGGCATTGTCGTACGTCTCCAACGTAGACACAAAAGTTTAACACAAGATTATTAATGTTTTATATATATATATATTGACGATGAGTTCGTCGTTCGAGCTCCTCCCGTTGGATAAACTGATCAGCCCCAATCTCTCAAATTAGTGGACTACTAAAGAGGTAGAGTTTAGACCCGTCAGCACAGTCTAGCTCAAAAGTAGCAGACTGAAGGGTGGCTCCTTGTCAGCCACCAGCACAACTACCTTTTTACTATACCCACTAAAGGACGGTTAAGCCCAAAAACTAGCCAGCTCGTACACTAATTATTAAGATTGACTAAAGGACCAGCAGTCCAACCTAGACTCTAGCCGCACACACACACACACACAAATTCTAAGAACACGGTAAATAAAATACTTGCGCTAAAGCCAGATTTTTATATAGATATTTTATTTAAAAACGTATTAAACACAAAGTCAAATATAATATAAAAATTTAACACAAAAATTAATTAAATTTTACAAAATTATTAAGTTATTCTTACATCAACGTCCTAACTCGTAACTCGACGTTTTTTCGACAAAACGTTCAGTCTCGTCTCGCCCAGTATCGTCCCCCATCCTTTTTTTTATGTTTCCTTTTTATATTCTTTTTCCCACCATTATTAATTTGCTTACCCTGCATTTCCCTTCTATATGACACCACTGTATTACTTGAGAATTTTAAAATTGCTTACTATTGCCTTAAACCCCGTATTATACTAAAATCGACGTTATTCAGCTATTTACTACAGCATCATGCCTGGGATCTATGAATTTATTTTGCTCATCTTCTATGTTAAAATTGTATTAAGTTTTTTGAACCTAGTATAAATAGCTTAATTCATGTGCCAAAAATTGATCACTTGTGGCTAATATTACTTAAAATTAAAAAATATTTAACTCAAAAAGCCACAAAATAAAATTACTAAAAAGTCGCGGATACGAATTTTGGAAATAAAGCTACCACCATCAACGCTAAACACATACTGACACTCCGACCTGGAAAAAACCCTTTATACCTATAATAACCTTATCACAGTGACATTATCACTAAGTAATATTATCACATTTTACCAGTTTGCACAAGTTTAATAATGAATTTTTCAATGGCTTGGCCCACTAAAATAAATTATTCTTATTTTTTAACATTCCTATTGCCTCCCTTATATTAACTTCTATGTAATTATTTACGTTTTTAATTAGTTTTATTATTTTAATGGAGTAATTATGTGTCAATTAATGTTTAGCCAACAGAAATTTATCAACTTAACACTTATATTTTTATTTGCTAGTCTTACATAACAATCATTACAACTTTCACATTGTATTTTATAAATGCTCGATTTCCCCCTTTTTTCTTCTTCATCTTTAGGGATACCTAATAAATCTTTTAAATTATTTCTTTTAGATGTAACTTAAGTAATTCCAAAGATCTTAAAAATTATATCTAGTCCATTTGAGATGCCCGAATAATATAAAATGGGTGATTTAATTACTTTTTGTTTCTCCGCGGTAATTAGTGTACTAGCTGCCCTCGTTTCTTTATTCTACTTTTGTGTTCGGACTAATTTCGAAATTATTATTTTGTTATTACCATTAAATCTAACTATTTCTCTTACAAACCACAGTACTTTATCAAAAATTTTTTTCTTCGTCGGAATATTAACTAGTTGGTAAACCTTACTATTAAAAGCTGTCATTTTGTATTGCCAGCTGCGGTTCGAGTTATTCAGGATGTACTTGAACGTGTGTGTGTTTTTCCTATAAATTACAAAATATAGTTCCCCATCTACTCTTCCGAAAATGGCAATATTTCCTTTACTTCCTGTTCGTATGTGAATTTAATCGATGATTAAAAAGAATATAAATGTTGTATGAAGACCTCCGTATTAAAATCTTTGTTTATTACCGCAACAATATCATCTACATTTAACTCAATTTTTTGGAAAATCACCATAGATACGTTTTAAATTTGTTTCCAACCTACTTAGAAAAAATTCTGCTTAAAATGGTGATAGTGGATTTGCCATTGCTGTGCCCACAGTTTGCTCATAAAATTTATTTTAAAACTAAAAAATTGTTTAACTCATACATAATTTTGTTAAATTAATAAGCTCTTTTATTTTATCTTGTTCTGTTTTGATCCTTTAGCCAGCCTTTAAGAAAACTAATTGTTGTATTTATCGATAATTAATATTAATATAATCTAAATTAATATTCGACACATTATTATTTCCTGGCTTATGTATTTTTGTCAAAACATATAGTTTAGGTATTTTAGGATTTGAAAATTTAATAAAAACCTGAACTATTCTTAAATTATTAATTTTGAACTATTGATAACATTTACAGCCTTCCTTATCATTTTAATTAATAGATTATATTTAATTTCTTAATAAAAACCCTCTTTAAATCATTTTTGATACTTTATCATAATAATCTTCTTCGTTCAGTATTACTATGGAATTCCCATTATCTGATTTTAAATAAAAGCAGTTTTTATTTTTTAAATTGGATATGAGTCGTGAATGTTTTAAATTTTTTCCTAAGCCCCCTTTACCTTCCATCGGAAATTTTTTCGATAAAAAACTTGTTTTAAGACCCAACTTAAGTGTTTCAGTTTTTTCAACGAAAAAAAAAGTTTGTGTAACTTCTAATTAAATCGTCCTCCCATTTTTAAAAAAATTAAAGTACCGGACTTTTATACAAATTTATTAGTTTTATGATTTGAAATTAATTTAATCATATGATACATCTTCTGTTCGAAGATTTTCCGCAGTGATTGTCTTAGAAAATTAGAAAGTTTTAAATGTAATTCATAAGTCCCAATTTCTAATATACTTCTATTACGACAATAATTCATTACTTATAACTTAAAAATTATATCCTGAGCGAAATTTATTGACTTGGAAAAATAAATATTATTATTGTTTGATTTAGTTGTTAATCTGACAAACTTGGTAGTTATATGTAACTTAAATATATTTTTTGAAAAAAAAATATATATATTAGCTCCAATCCGGCGTACTTTCGTCTTGGTCTGCATAAGTTTATTTCTCTTTGTAATGATCAAAAAGCCCTAATACAATAATTATATAATAAAAATTGATCACTTGTGACTAATATTACTTAAAATTAAAACTATATTAAAAATATTATTAATTTAAAACAAAAACCCAACCTAACCAGACCTATCTACTGTGTAAAGCATAAGGTTTTTATGGTTATTATTATTATTTAGATATTACCTTATAATAAATTTATTTTATGTTATAATTTATAATTATAATAACATTTTTTAAATCTAAATTAAATTCAAAAAGCAGATAAGTGACCTTCAATAATGCTTGTGCTCCCTTTTGGCGACCTTCTCGTTTATTTTTACAAATAACTGTAGCTGTATGTTCTTTAATAGACATAGTACATCGATAAAATATTTCTGAATCTGAACCACTTTGCATTCTTTCCATATGACAATCCACATTTGCATTATCTCCGAAATTTCTTAAACAATTTATTATTATTATTATTTCAAATTGTTTTCCTAATTTATTTAGGAATACCATAAAGTTTCCTAACAATTAAACAAAATGTCAAACTTAGTCTCCTTAAGGTATACATTTTTTTAATTTTCATTAGCTCCACTTATTAATTTTAAATGAACATCAATCTAGATGCAAAATAAAAACGGTAGTACAGTGGGGTCGCGGCATAGTGGAGACATTGCATAGTTGGGTCCAGTATAGATTTAATCTGACAGTGATTAAAATCACTATCATAAGAAACGCTTCGATGCAAATCTGTAGATAGTGTTTAATTTTAAAAAATTGATGGATAATTGCAAAAGCAACATCAACTTCTATTAAAATAAAATACAAAACCCATAATTATCATACAAAAATAGTATATTTTTCAATATGGTAGCCATTTGCGTATAGAAGATAGATCGTCGGGACAAATTTTTTTTTTTCATTTTGTAGTACATAAAATAAGCTTTAATTTTATATATGTTTAAAGGACGCAGTATTTCCGGAACATTTTCAAAAATTAAGTTGAAAAAGTTATTTTTTGTAAAAAAGTTACTATTTTAAATCCTCCCAGTGAGCAGAATAAGTGTTAGATTTTCAAAAAAAATTATATCAAACGAAAGGGAAATATCTAAGGTTTCAATACAAAAAAATATTATTTTTATTTGTTCATTTTTGAAAAAGTTATGGCAGTTTTAAGTACAAAAAACATCCCGATAAAATGTAATTTTTATCGCAAACATTACATTTTTTTTAAAATTTTCGACAGCCATTTGCACATAGAAGATAAGATGTCGGGACAAATTTTTTTTTTTCATTTGATAGTATATAACATAACCTTTGATTTGATATATGTTTAAAGGACGCAGTATTTCCGGAACATTTTCAAAAGTTCAGTTGAAAAAGATCTATGTTTTTTACAATATTTTAAGTTTTGAACGCCCCCTATATAAGGGGAAATTGTCCAATTTTAATAAAAAGTATGTCAAATGAAAGATGTACTTATAATGTATTTAGAAAAAAAAAAATTGTGCTGATACATGCATTTTTCGAAAAGTTATAGCATTTTTAAGTTGAAAATTAAAAATCGAAAATCGAAAATTTTAACACAAAAATAGTGTTTTTTTAACTACGGCAACCGTTTACATGTAGAAGATAAAGTGTCGGGACAAATTTTTTTTTTTCATTTTATAGTACATAAAATAAGCTTTGATTTGATATATGTTTAAAGGACGCAGTATTTCCGGAACATTTTCATAAGTTCAGTTGAAAAAGATCTATGTTTTTTACAATATTTCAAGTTTTGAACGCCCCCTATATAAGGGGAAATTGTCCAATTTTAATAAAAAATATGTCAAATGAAAGATGTACTTATAATGTATATAGAAAAAAAAATTTGTGCTGATATATACATTTTTCAAAAAGTAATAGCATTTTTAAGTTGAAAATTTAAAATCGAAAATCAAAAATTTTAACACAAAAATAGTGTTTTTTAAACTACGACAGCCGTTTAAATGTAGAAGAAAAAGTGTCGGGACAAATTTTTTTTTTTCATTTTATAGTACACAAAATAAGCTTTAATTTGATATATGTTTGAAGGACGCAGTATTTCCGCAACATTTTCAAAAATTAAGTTGAAAAAGTTAATTTTTGTAAAAAAGTTGCTATTTTAAATACCCCCCAATGAGCAGGTTAAGTGATAGATTTTCAAAAAAATGATATCAAATGAAAGGTA